TTCAACCAGAGCCAGAATGTGAACGCTTCCTGTCCCCCTCATCACAACAACTTCGATTAGGGGCCCTTGGTTGTGGGGAGCAAACCGGACTAGACTGTTACTGGAATTAAGACTTATTCTATGCATCTGCTCTCCCACAATATGGCGCTGGGAGAGGAGGAAACAGCTTCCGCACAGCTGCCTCCAGTTCAACTAATAAACTGTAGGACTTGCTCCTGATTGGAGGAGAGCAGCGTACTCGGCGTGTGGGCAGCCGAGTTGGGATTGGCGGAGGAGGACTATAAAGGAGGAGAGAGACGGCATACACCGGGAACATCTATGGGGAACATCTAAGGGAACCCGTGCAGCCGAGAAGAGCCGGCCGGCGGTGTGCCGCTCCCCTGCGGAAGTGGGGAATGCGGCCAGGGGGAACTGCCCTTCCACGGAGGTGGAAGGGATAGTAGCCAACCCGGGAAAAACCAGCAGCAAACCCGGGGAGGGCCGAGCAGACGAAAGAACAGCGCAGGGTCCTGTGTTGCTCCTCCACGAAGAGGGGGAGCGACACTTGGTCTTTTGGCTGAATCATCTCAACAGACTTTTAAGTGGTGTTCCTCCTTCTGCTCTTTTTCTTCTTTATTCTGCACAGAGTGGTACCTGTGAAGCTCCAGTCTAATTGTATCACCGCTCAGAATCTTCCAAAGGCTTCCTTCATCGTTCAGAACAAAAGGTAAGATCCCCATCAGGTTCCATAAAGTCATTCAAGATCTTGGCCACCTTCTGACCTTTCAGAACTCAGTCTTCTCACTGTTCACCTCTGTCACTGTGCGTTCATGTGACCTGACTCCTTGCAGCAGGCCCTCAGAGATGCCTGGCACACTGCTGGCCAGCAACGGTTGCCCTACCTGTTCCCTCACACTGAAACAGGTATCACCTCGGCTTTCTCCGGAACTTTCTTAGAACTTTGCTCCTACGTCACTCATGTCTTATCACCAATATTTCCCCTAATCACTTGTCATGATAGAGCAACTTCCTTTACCTTGCTGTACTTCGCTCCTAAGCACTGATTACCTTTTAACCGGGCTTGTGATGATCTGTTTATTATTTTTTTCTTTAAACGTATATAATTATTATTTATTGATGAAAATAAAATTATCAGTTTATTTCCTTGACAGATGATGTGACAGATACAAATGAAGGCACTAATAATATCTATGGGCAAGAATTTCATAGCTTCAGTTCCATCTTCTCAGTTACCTATCATCTACTAAGGCAGCTTGAATTAAAGATTTTAACTCTGACTTGGCTTTGACATAAACATGAGGATTTTAGTCAAATGTAACTCAGCCTCATTTACTCCTTGTAAAACTCCATGGTTTCCTGTATTTCCTTTTTTTTAACTTTTATTTAATAAATATAAATTTCCAAAGTACAGCTTATGGATTACAATGGTTCCCCCCCTCCACATAACTTCCCTCCAACCCACAACCCTCCCATCTCCCATTCTCTCTCCCATCCCATTCATATCAAGATTCATTTTCAATTATCTTTATATACAGAAGATCAACTTAGTATTTTTTTATTTTTTATTTATTTATTTTTTTGACAGGCAGACTGGACAGTGAGAGAGAGAGAGAGACAGAGAGAAAGGTCTTCCTTTGCTGTTGGCTCACCTTCCAATGGCCGCCACAGCTGGCGCACTGCGGCCGGTGCATCGCGCTGATCCGATAGCAGGAGCCAGGTACTTATCCTGGTCTCCCATGGGGTGCAGGGCCCAAGCACTTGGGCCATCCTCCACTGCCTTCCCAGGCCACAGCAGAGAGCTGGACTGGAAGAGGGGCAACCCGGACAGAATCTGGCGCCCTGATCGGGACTAGAACCCGGTGTGCCGGCGCCGCAGGCAGAGGATTAGCCTAGTGAGCCACAGCGCTGGCCTCAACTTAGTATATATTAAGTGAGGATTTCAACAGTTTGCACCCACACAGAAACACAAAGTGTAAAGTACTGTTTGAGTACTAGCTATACCGTTAATTCACATTGAAGAACACATTAAGGACAGAGATCCTACATGAGGAGTAAGTGCACAGTGATTCCTGTTGTTGACTTAACAAATTGACACTCTTGTTTATGGCATCAGTAATCTCCCTAGGCTCTTGTCATGAGTTGCCAAGGCTATGGAATCCTTTTGAGTTCACCAACTTCGATCTTATTTAGACAAGGTCATAGTCAAAGTGGAAGTTCTCTCCTCCCTTCAGAGAAAGGTACCTCCTTCCTTGATGGCCTGTTCTTTCTGCTGGGATCTCACTCGCAGAGATCTTTCATTTAGGTTGTTTCTTTTTTTTTTTTTTTCTGTTTTTTTCTTACTAGAGTGTCTTGGCTTTGCATTCCTATAATACTATCATGGGCTCTTCAACCATATCTGAATGCCTTAAGGGCTGATTCTGAGGTCAGAATGGTGTTTAGGACATCTGCCATTCTATGAGTCTGCTGTGTATTCTGCTTCCCATGTTGGATCGTTCTCTCCCTTTTTTATTCTATCAGTTAGTATTAGCAGACACTAGTCTTGTTTGTGTGATCCCTTTGACTCTTAGACCTATCATTATGATCAATTGTGAACTGAAATTGATCACTTGGACTAGTGAGATGGCATTGGTACATGCCACCTTGATGGGATTGAATTGGAATCCCCTGGCACGTTTCTAACTCTACCGTTTGGGGCAAGTCAGCTTGAGCATGTCCCAAATTGTACATCTCCTCCCTCTCTTATTCCCACTCTTATATTTAACAGAGATCACTAAATTATCTGTTTATTATTTTTACCCTGTTAGTGTCATCAGAGCAGAGACTTTGTTTTGACTTTTGCTCTATCTGCTACAGTCCTCCTACAACTATTTGGCATATAGTAGGTGTTCAGTAAAATTCAGATGAAATGTGTTCAGATAATTCAGGATTAATTACATAGTAATGAATTAAATAGTTCTTAAAAATTCTAAAAAGTTTTTTTGACAGGCAGAGTGGACAGTGAGAGAGAGAGACAGAGAGAAAGGTCTTCCTTTGCTGTTGGTTCACCCTCCAATGGCCGCTGCGGCCGGTGCATTGCTCTGATCCGAAGCCAGGAGCCAGGTGCTTCTCCTGGTCTTCCATGCGGGTGCAGGGTCCAAGGACTTGGGCCATCCTCCTCTGCCCTCCTGGGCTACAGCAGAGGGCTGGCCTGGAAGAGGAGCAACAGAGACAGAATCTGGCGCTCTGACCAGGACTAGAACCCGGTGTGTTGGAGCCACAGGCGGAGGATTAGCCAAGTGAGCCGGGGTGCCAGCCTAAAAACTTTAAAGTATTTTTAATACAAAATGTATCATCACAACATGATTAAAAATCTGTTTCCTTTGTATGACAACTAGAGGTAAAACAATGTTTCTTTTAAGAAGGTGGCACAGTGTATTTCATCATCAGCCTGTAAAACCTTGCATACAGATATTATAAAAATGCTTCCTTTTTACATAAACATTGCAAACATATATATTTATATGTCTCATATATAGTGCTATTATGTTATATATAAATATAGTGATTTTATATGTGTGTGTGTGTGTGTGCACATGCACAGGCATATAATTTTGTTAACTTGGCTGATAAAGTTCAATTCTCTAACAGTCATAGCTAAGAAACATAATTGTCGCTCCCCCTCTTCATGGAGGAACGACACAGGACCCTGCGTTGTTCTTCTGTCTGCTCGGCCCTCCCCGGGTTTGCTGCTGGTTCTTCCCGGGTTGGCTACCGTCCCTCCACCTCCGTGGAAGGGCGGTTCCCCCTGCCACATTCCCCACTTCCGCGGGGGAGCGGCACACCGCCGGCCGGCTCTCTCGGGGGCTGCACAGGTGTTCCCCTTAGATGTTCCTGGTGCATGTTGTCTCTCTCCTCCTTTATAGTCCTCTTCCACCAATCCCAACTCTGCTACCCACACGCTGAGTACGCTGCTCTCCTCCAATCAGGAGCAGGTCCCACAGTTTATTGGTTGAACTGGAGGCAGCTGTGTAGAAGCTGTTTCCCTTCTCAGCGCCATATTGTGGGAAAGCAGATGCATAGAATAAGTCTTAATTCCAGTAACTTAGTCTAGTCCGAGTTGCTCCCAGTTGCTCCCCACACATAATGAAAGACTATCCATTTATTTTCTAAACATACATTTAGGCAAAACTTACTGGATTTCAGTCACGACTGGTATTTTCCAGCTGTGTGGACTGGTACAAATTACTTAAAACCTTTTTTTTTCTGCATTGTGGTAATGAATAAAACACCCAGGCTTCTTATATTATAGAATTTTTCAAATGTTAAGTAAAATAAATAATGTGAATTTGATGTGTCCATTTGACTGGGTGAAGGGATATCCAGGTCGGTGGTGACACATTATTGCTAGCTGTGTGTGTGTGAGGGTGGTTCCAGAAGAGAATAGCATTTTAACCAGCAGACCAAGTAAAGAAAATCTAAGGGTATAGGGCATCATCTAAATCCACTGAGGGCCTGCATAGAACACACAGGTGGAGGCGGGTGAATTCACTCTCCTGGCTGCAGCTGAGATACCCAGCTTCTCCTGCCCTTGGATTTCAGAGCTCCAGGTTCTTGGGTTTTTAGATGTGGATGGAATTATATGACTGGCTTTCCTGGGTCTCCAGCTACAGCTGACAGCAGACCCTGGACTTCTTGGCCTCCATACATACATGAGCCAATTCCCAGAATAAGTTCCCTCTTTATCTATCTATCTAGCCTATTATTCGGTTTCTCTGGAGAACCCTGACTTAATACAATTAATTTGATGTTAGGACACTGCTTAATACACAGTTGGCATCTGTAAATGTATGTATTATTAAATTTACATTTGTACCACAGACAACCCAAACCAAGTGTTCATATATCAAATAAAATTTTCAACAAGAAACTTCCCTATACTTGTGTAGCAGAACTTGTGTAGTGAACAGATGCTTTCATTTACCTGTGAGGAAGAAAGAGAAAACCCACAAAATCCAACTTACTTCATTATGAGTGGGCTGATGAAGGCCAAAATATCAGCAAACACTTTGAATAAAGCAACTTGAATCAAGACAGACTTAAATGTGTTCCACAGTGCATAAAGTAGAGACGGTTTCCCGGCATGCGACTCTTTATGAATAGACACCTATACAATTAAAGAAAATGCAAACAGTAAGAATCTGAGCAGAATTATCATGATTAAAAATGAAATACATGCAAACTAACCATAGAACTAGCAGTTTCTTTGCATTTCAAAAGGTAATACATAACAAAAACAGAATATATGCAGTTAACTTTGAAAATATAGCCATACAGTTTTATACCCAGACTGGTTGGCATTATTTATATTACATGTCATAAATGGGCGGGAGCTTAACATACAATATTGTATTTTATCACTTTGGTGAGTTTCAAAACTATTTAATTGATACTGATACAGTTTTTTAAATAACCAAATAATACTTTCTCTTTGGAAGTCTAAGAGACATAAATATATTTGCATACATGATGCCAGATGAGGACTTGCTTCCCTAAATTTTTGGGAATGATTTACTTTGATAAGGACACGATACTCTAAGATGCAGAAGTTGTCTTTATCACGATGAGCAAGACCCCCAAAGATATGTACAAGTGCAAAAATCAACACATGTGCTCCTAAATAATTTGAAGACAGAAACATGCTGCAACAACAATGAACTGTGCTTATGGAAATGACTTACCATGTCACAGATTTTAGAGATTTTCTATATTAATAACAATCATGGCTCATATTTGGAAAAAGCTTTATCTAACTTTAGGTAGTAATTAAGTACTTTAGTATTTAACATTATTTACCTGTGCTTTTTGTCTTTCTTGATGCCTTAAAACTTCCTTCCTCCATTGTTTTTCAAAGATGGGACACACAATATAAGAGGAATCACTTTCGTTTAGTTCAAAAAGATCTTCTCTTTCCAAAGGTTTTTTATAGCCTAAGATAATTATTCTGAAACAGTAAGTTAAACAATTCATCCAAACTTAAAAATCAAGTTAAGAATAATTGTATGTGTTTATTTTATTCCTTGATTTATGCATTATTTTATCAAACAATACAAGGACTAGATTGTGTGCTTAAAAATATCATGCGATTTTATTCCAGAGTTACATAATGTGCAATAATCTTTGCAGTTTTTAGAAGGTCTGTTAACATAGCCAATTATTCAGTGATACACTAACTCCACTTACTCATCTCCTATTTGGGAAATGTACCACTCCCCTACTCCACCTCTCCTCCCCTCCTGAAGTTTAAACAGCAAACTCTTATATAAGTTATTCATTCAACCACCCAAGAACCTGTATTTGTTTTTAGGCTTCTATCAGAGGAAAAATGAATCTAAGCTCTACATTTGCATCATCCCTCTGTTTCCCTGTGACTTTCTATACCCTTTGCCACTTGACATTATGGATCAACCAACTAAGGGTAGGGTATCTATCCATCCCATAAACTCTGAGATGAGCTATATGACTTACTCTACCAAACAGAATGTGAAAGTACCATTTTTGAGTTGATGCTTTAAGAAACACGGCAAATTTCTGCCACATTCTGGGTATCTGCACTCCTTTCTATTCGAAGAACTTGTCCCTGGGGTCACTGTGAATAATTTTGTGAGAACCATGGGTCTAAAATGGGAGAGAAACTAAGGTGCATGATTTTGTCATAGTGCAAAAGGTATTGTAGGGGACAAGGATCATGTCTGTCCAGTCATCCCTCTGTGCCACCATCTTGCTACTCACAGGAAGCTGACATTTACTCCGTTGAAAATCTCTTGAACTCAGGGTAAACTTATCCAACCACAGAGCCATGAATTATGATTGGGCTATACCAATTGTGGCAACTTCATTCCCCCTTGCTTGGAATTAATAATATACTGATACCTAAAAAGAAATCTGCTGGGGAGAACTTTGTTTTCCACTAGACATTAAGGGGAGAAATGTTTTGCCTCACTTCCCCTTCTTGTTCCTCCTCCTACATGCAAGAAGATATGATTCTCGGAGATACAGAAAGCATGTGCCGATTTCAACGAGTCTTCCCAAGCTAATGTAATTTGATTGTCATTGTTAACAGCATTAAGAAATAGGGCCTCTAGGAGGTGAGGAGGACATGAGTGCTCTGTTATCAATGAATGAACTGATTCTGTTATACTGGGATGTCAGTTAACAAGGAGTGGGTGCTTGATGAAAAGGATGCATTTGACGGCATTTCTTTTTTCTTTCTTTCTTTCTTTTTTTTTTTTTTTTGACTGGTATCGTGACACAGCAGTTAATTACCTGCAAAAGCCTGCATCCTGTGCTAGCTCTGATCCAACTTCCAACTATCATGCCTCGTAAAGCAGTGGATGATGGCCTAAGTGTTTAGGCCCCGGCCACCAGCAAGGAAGGCCTGGATTGAGTTTCAGGCTTTTGGCTTCAGTTTGGCCCAGCCTGGGCCATTGAGGCCATTTTGGGAAATGAATCAGTTGATGCAAGATATCTCTCTCTCTCTCTGCCTTTAAAGTAAATAAATAAATAAATCTTTAAAAATCTTTAAATAAATAATGAGCCCAGAATTGTGGTACAAAATTGCTTTAAATTTCATAACAAAAAAAAAAAAAGAAATCTTCCAAACCCCTGCTAAATGCTGTGTTTGTTTATGCCATTCCTCGACTGCACATTGCTTTCTGCAATACATATGATCACATATTGCTCTCTATAACCAAGGTGTGTCTTCATGCAGTGGGTGACCAAGCTCACGGCGATTGTCGCTCCCCGTCTTCATGGGGGAACGACACAAAACCCTGCCTAGGCTTCATATCCGAGTCACGGCACCATTATGTCGCTCCCCGTCTTCATGGGGGAACGACACAAAACCCTGCCTAGGCTTCATATCCGAGTCACGGCACCATTATGTCGCTCCCCGTCTTCATGGGGGAACGACACAAAACCCTGCCTAGGCTTCATATCCGAGTCACGGCACCATTATGTCGCTCCCCGTCTTCATGGGGGAACGACACAAAACCCTGCCTAGGCTTCATATCCGAGTCACGGCACCATTATGTCGCTCCCCGTCTTCATGGGGGAACGACACAAAACCCTGCCTAGGCTTCATATCCGAGTCACGGCACCACTTGCTGCTCCTCCGCACGCGGAGGAGCCGCACCGGACCGGGCGCTTGTTGTTCCCCTTTTTTACAAGTCCTTTCTATAGTAAAGTAAGAATAAGTAAACAGCAAACTCCCAAAGCAAGAATGAGTAGAGAGAAATGAGAAAGAACGAAGTAACGAACTTCCCCGCGAACTCTCCAACGCACTCTCCAACCAACCCACACCACCATGCCGTCTCTCTCCTCCTATATAGTCCTCTCCACCAATCCCAACTCGGCTGCCCACACGCCGAGCACGCCGCTCTCCTCCAATCAGGAGCAGCTCCTGCAGCTTGTCAAGTTGGTGAGAGGCAGCTGGGTAGAAGCTGTTTACTTCTCTCCCAGCGCCATATTGTGGGAGAGCAGATGCATAGAATAAATCTTAATTCCAGTAACAGTATAGTCCGAATTGCTCCCCACAGCGATGGTACATGCAGCAGATTAAACCACTTGCAACACCACCATCCCATATCAGAGTACTGATTTAAGTCACAGCTGCTCCACTTCTGACCCAGATCCCTGTTAATGTGTCTGTGCAGGCAGCAGCTGATGGTCCAAGTGCTTGAGCCTCTGCCACCCATGTGGGAGACCTGGATGGAGTTCCTGGCACCTGACTTCTGCCTGATACAGCCAGGCTGTTGTGGCCATTTGGGTAGTGAATCAGTGGATAGAAGATTCTCTCTCTCTCTCTCTCTCTCTCTCCTGCCCATCCCTCTCTCTCTCTCTCCCTCTCTCCCCTCCCTGTCTCTGTCCTAGTGCCTTTCACAACATAAATAAATTAATCTTCAAAAGGACAAATGAAAAGACCTCTGACTTTGTAGACTGAGTTCTTTCCAGGATAGAGCATTGGCTAAGGAGACCATAATCAAGCATTACTCCACTCCAAACTGGGATTCCTTTCATTGTCATTGTTTTTGAATACTCTCAATTGATGAACCCTCGGATCAATTTAAACCCTAGGGTAACAAGAGTCTGGGTTCTACTTTATTTTCATTATAATAAATAGTATCATGCCATCATTCATATGTAACAAAAAGGCTTAATGTAAGCAGAAAGGACCTTCTGTGAGCAAATTTCGGTTGGCTCTAGTACGTTGGATACTTTCCTGCAACATACTTTTAAAAACATATTAAGTAATAAACTCCTTTCATGTCATATTAAGTCATTCTACTCCATTCTATAAAATAAATATTCATTTTTGAAATAAGATTGCATTGATTTTCACAAAAGCATTTTTTAATAACACTTACTGCCTCAGCATCTTGTGTTAGAACTGTGCAAAACTCAGCAGTTTTGGTTCAGGGATAAGTGACCCCAGCTTTCATGCTGAGTCTCCCAAGAATGCAGCATGTAGAAGTGACACCTAAGCACCCTCTCATGGCTCGGTGGTGGACCTGCCTTGATTTCTCTTTGTGCAGGTGTGAGCCCTCCCTCCCCATCTTTTGCTCTCTTGTGATAGAATTAAATACTCTGATCATATGAGTTAGTGTTCTCTTCCCAAATGAGAGGTTGGGAAAAGACAAAGCAAAGAAGCAGCATTTTTTTTTTTTTAATCTTACAAGAAGACTGTTTTTTTTTTGAAACAACTAAGACCAAAAACAGACCCTGCCAATGAGTGACATGCAGCATACACCAGTCTTATAAACTTCGATGCTCTATTCCTGAAGTAATCATACTCTCTTCTCATACTCTCTACTGCAGGCAGAGCTGTACGAATTTCTCATTTTTACAGGCAGTTGAACATCAAAAGCCCCAGAGACTGGTCACAAAAAGCAATGCCAGCTTGAATGGCAGACAGTGCCTTGAAAAGTAATACTTCCATTCTGTTTCTAATTGTGCTACCCTAGAAACAATTTTGTATATATTTATCATTGGCAAGTATGCATAAATATATCATTCAGTTGCTATGAAGACAAAAACAGTAACACTCAGCTTGGATGAAGAGGTAAAATATAACTTTTGTAGATGAACAATATTTGAACAAATGAAAAGGATCACTTTTATTAATATTAGTGAACTCTAAAAATATTTCTTGAAATGTATGATTATATTGTGGCAAAGGAATGGAGTTGGCTGATCCAAAAGTCATACAATGGGACAAGTTAACGTATGTATTTTATTAATGTATGATTAAAGGTAGAGCATATTGAATAGTATATACCTGGTTAAAAGAATGACCCAGTTGTGACTGATTAAAGTTTTAATTAGATTTTTTTCCATGTATATCAAGGGGATTATTCTATGACCAGGATCATTTTACCCTGATGACAGATTCTATTTGCTAATAAGGGCTTGGTAATTATTCAATCATCAAAATGATCTAGACAGCTACTGCCTTAGGAATTAAGACTCATAAGAATATAATTTCTTAATTATTGTATCATTTGAGCATATTTTAATGGAATTATTCACTTAATTATAAGAGCTTGAATTTGGTCTAGGATATAATTTCTGACTTTGTCTATAACTCCAAAAACAGATTCTGAAATACAAAGAACCATTGTCTTCAAGGGAACATTCTCTTAAACAACAGTTATGTTTTAACTGCAACTGTTCAATCAACAGATAAGAAATCAAATTAGGTTCGTGGCAATGTCAGTTCCAGATAACAACATGCTATGAAAATATTTCTTATCTAGTTTTGAGATGCTACATTTAAATGGAAAGAAAATTTGATATTCAACAATTATAGCTTGTTGGTTTACTTGATTGAATTAAGATATGGATTTTTAAGGTAAGATATTGCCATATTTTAAAATTTCCTATGTCCTATTTTAAAACTCAACCTTACTTGTTGAATTTACATTCAGTTCCTTAATTTAGCATTTCTGAAAAGAGTTTTTTTAATATCTAAACTACATGTACACAGTTTATATAATGTGATGAAGTTTTAAAGTTACACTTTTGTGTATATTTTGTTTGCATTATTTAAACTCTGTTACCTAACATTTTATAATGACCACTGAATATTTTTATAGAGAGGATAGATATCATTATTTGTTAATTCATGGATAAAGCAGAACACAGGATTGGAAAAATATGTATATATAATCAAAATCATTCATTGTAAATAGTTTACATTTATTTAATTTCAATCTATTGTCCCTTTCTCCTAGTGTACAGCCTAATGGTACATATTGGTGTAAAATTTCGCCACTTTCTTTAAGTGATTCTTAGATTTGTATAACATGGGATTCTTCAAATTTGACCTCATCTGCCCATGTATGTATGCATGTGTATAGATGTATATATATATATAATTTACATATATAATATATATATTATATATCATAATTTAAATATATATAATTTAAGGTGTTTTTCTAATAATCATCAATTATCTTACATTGCCAAATTTAATGGAGCATATTCAATTCTTACTTAATTTACTCTTTTTCAATATTTGCCATATTGACCAGTTTATTTTTCTCTTTTATTGAAAGTTTCTTTTTTCTAAGCTGTCAGTCACACTGTTTTCCATATATTTCTCTTACATTCTGAATACCTTACTTAACTTTCTTTGTAGATTTCCCCTCCTCTTACCATTTAAATACTGAGATTTCTAATGTTCTATTTGCTAATCTTATTCAATTGGACCATCTCATTCTTTCTCATGACTCCAACTACTGACATACATAGTCAATGGCTCTCCAGCTACATTTATAGATCAAAGTTTTATCCTCAGTCTGATCACTAAATGTCCAAATTCTTGCTCCTATGATACTTCATAGGCAACTCAAATCGAAGCTTTTCCAAATGGAACCAACAATTTTTTTTTACCATATCTCAACCTTATAACTATGTGAACTAGAAAGTTATATTTGTCCTTTTGTTTCCTAGTTCCTCAATGTCTTGAACCAATCAACTCTTTTCTATATAGTACCTTCTCTTTCATCATTCTCCATCATTATCATAGATCAGATTGTGACCTAGAGTCTCCTAGGACACCCAAAGGCTCTTTTCCTGATTCTTCCTATCCCCGTTTCCATCTTAAAAATTTTATTTGTACCAGATTGCAAAGGTGAGCTTCTGAAACCACTATGATGACCTCACTGCTCTATTTACATTTCTTCAGCAATAGAAGCATGTTCTAGAGACTCCTCATGATCTCTCCCTCCATCTCAGTCTCCTGCCATCCAGCCCTTTGGTGTATGACAGGTCAGAGCTGTCATACCTTTCAGCTTATCACATGGCATTTGCTGGATGAGGAATGCCACCTGACACACTCCCACACATCTTTAAATATCGGGTTAAAGCATTGGTACTTGTGAAATTTTCCCTAATTTTGTCAACCTGGTTAAATGACACTCCTAAAAATATGTGTTTCTCAATCATGCTTATGTTGTTCTTATGGTCTTTGGTAATTGATATTTTACTTTTTGATCTTTTTAATTCTACCATGAATTTCTACAAAATGTAAATTAAATTGCTTATTTCTGTGTTTTTAAAGATTTGTCAGGTTCAGGGTATTTAGTACCCATTTTTTAAGGGTTCATATACTCTTGAAAATATCTACAGGTCAGTTTTGGTAATTGTTTCTACTGAACATAGAATAAGGGGCATAAATCTAAGAAGACAAATTTAATTTTTTATTTTAAGAGCTTTCTGTCACAATGGAAAAATAAATACATTTCTGAAGTAACAGCATAAGAAGAAATAGTCAAGTCTTCTAATCTCATTTTTAGAAATTATTTATTTTACTTATTTGAAATTCAGAGAAGACAGAGTGCACTTTCATCCACTGGTTCACTCCCCACATACCCACAAGAACTGGTGCTGGGTCAGGCTGGAGTCAGAAGCCAGAAACTCAATCCAAGACTCACAAGTAGGTGGCAGGGACCCAAGTCTTATTTGTGATATTGTCTTCTGCCCCCAAGGATACACATTGGCATGAAGCTGGAATTGAGAATAGAGCCAGGACTTGAATCTATCAGTTGGGCTCGAGCCAGACCGAAACCATAAGCCAAGAACTCTATCAGAGTTTCTCATGTGAGTGGCAAGGTCCCAAGTAACTGAGCCATAGTCTTCTGCCTCCCAAGGTGTGCATTAGCAGGAGGCTGGATCAGAAGTGGGGCTGGGACTCAAATCCAGACAATCTGGTATGAGAAGCAAGCATTCCATATGACATCCTAATTGCTGTGCCAAATCTCACCACCTAATAGGATTTAACTCCTGTGCTGAAGTCCAAGGTTACAATGCAATCATCTAAAGAATTTATGAGCCCTGTCTGTACATTATGAATGATTATAATTTGAGATAATCCAGAATATATGTCTAATAAAATGATTAATTATGGATATGTATGTATGTGTTCTCATGGCAACATATACATATACACACACACACACACACATATATATATATAAGCATTTCTAGTAATCAGTAGCATGACACAGCCAAAAAAAAGGAAGAAGAAAAGAGACCATAAAATGTGGACTCAAAAGAAACTACTTATAATACAGACTTGTTCCCACCTGAGTATCCATGGACAAATTCTATCTCTTGAGGTGGATCTTTGGCATAGCCATTGAGACATGGCTTGGTATGCTTGCATCCTATAATGGAGTGCTTGTGTTTGAATCCTGGCCCCCTTCTTGATTTCAGCTGGCTGTTAATGCACACCATACAACATAGCAGATGTTGGCGCAAGTACTTGGGACCCTGCCACACACATATGAAACTTAGATTGAGTTCTGTACTCCTGGCTTCAGTCTGGCCCAGCTCCTCCTGTTGCAGGCATTAGAGAAGTAAACCAACAGATGGGAGATATCTCTCTCTCTCTCTCTCTCTAAACAAAAAAAATCTTTCTCTGTTTGAGTCTTAATTTTCTAATCTGCAAATACAAATCTCAGAGATCTTTGGGGAGACATCAATGAAATAATATACCCAAAATGGGTAGCACATGATGCTAAAATGGAAGTTCACTTTTCTGTCCCTTCCTAGTGCCAATAGGATACAAATCCTATAAAGGAACACCCACATTGGAGGAACCTTAGTATTCTTATCTGTGAAGTTAGACTGTTATTACCTATGATTTATGCGTAATAAGTCATCAGAGAAAAATATGTACAAGGTCATATTGTAATAATATAAATACTTATATTAAAGGGATTACATTCAGGTGTCATTTCATTTGACATCTTCCTCAGCGTGCTATACTTCAAGTAAACTCATAAAGATCCTACCTGCTGAACCAGGAATATGTCACCTTACTGAAGAGTGAAGCACTTTTCTCTGGACTGCATTTCTACAACGAAAAATATGTCAAGTAGTACATGAAGTAAATGCCTTTCATTTATACTTGAAATATCTTTGTCAGTAGATGAAAAGAATACAAGAAATAATTTATTTGATTAAATGTTACAAATATGTTGGTATTATAATGCTTAAGGAATACAATAAGTGAAGATATTCTTAGATGGTGGATGCCCTAGAGGAATTTTTTTCTCATAACATTATGACTGAATACATAGCAATAATCATGTTGGAGGAGAAAATCATTTCTAAAGTGCCTTCTGCTCCCTCTTTCTCGCGCCAGATTCTTGAACTTATTAACACACGCCAAGCATTCACAATTAATACAATTATATGACAGTCCATCACATAATGGAATTAAATGATAATGCTTATACAAAAAGTTAATAGAAACAGAATTAAAAGACAAGTTTATTTTGATGCAAAAAATTGGAAATCCTTGCATAGTTGTCTCACAATACGCATTTTCCAAGAACTTTTGGAAGATTTCTCATATATATGTGATCTCAAAATTTTTGTACAAAAGTAATCTTATTTTGAAGTACTATTCTCCTTGAAATTTTTGAAACATCCTCTCTAAACATATATTTGCATACATATATAAATATGTAATTTGGCCTATATGTATATAATTTACATCTGAAACACCTTAATTGATAAATTAAAGATAGTTTTTTATTTTTCTAAAAAATAGAAACAAAAGAGACTATAATAGATATCTGGTGTACTTCTATGTAAGTATTCACATATTTTTGTAATTATGAACACAATTCTGTATTTATCACAATTACATATTGTTCAGGAGGGGGGATGTAACATTTCCATAAGATTCTTGCAGGCTTAGTTAGTACAGACAAGCAACAAAAGAGTTTAAACAGGGAAGGCCTCCAAATAAATCATTTTGCTTTTTAGAGTCAGCATCAATATGTTTTATTTTCAAATGCAGAACTGACCACTAAGTTAAACTTGATTGTTAGTAATTGCCCCACATTTAGCAATTTTTGATTTGATTCTCTTCAACCCAAGTCAAAATCCACACTCAAAGTTCAAAGTGCTTACCACTTTTTAAAAGCTCTGAACCTAGAGGAAATGAATACACAAAATTCCATCCTACACACCAAAATGTCGTGAGTACGTAAGAGACACCATGATATTCTACTCCAAATCTGTTCTTTTTTTGATGCCAAATGATAGACATCATGTGAAATACATTTATTTTGCCAAAATGGAATCAATCTGTTACTATAGGATTTCTGCAAAAATTAATACAATGACAAATATAAAACATTTATCAATCATCAGAATAACACTACCACTCTAATACATAAACTAAGATATTGTCATCACTAAGATTATCAAATATATTCTTGGGAAAATAAGTACACACCTTATTGGGCATGATGTTCTAAAAATTCACTAATAGCCTAGAAGACATATTTTATGACATGTCACATTTGATAATTTGCCACCAATGAAAGGATCTTATTGTGTGTGTGTGTGTGTGTGTGTGTTGTGGGGGGACAAACTGCAAATCACTGCAAACTCATCGAAGCTTTCCGCATCAAGTAGTAGAATGCAGAGGCAGCCATGTGGCCTAGCCGTTAAGATGCTGGTTGGGACATCGCAACCCATATTGGATGCCTGGGTTTGAGTCTCTGAACCCAGCTTTCAATTCCAGCTTCCTGTTAATGCATGCCCTGGGAGGAAGCAAGTGATGGCTCAAGTGACTGGATCCCACAGGGAAGACTTGCATTGTGTTCAGGCTCCTGGCCTGGCCCAACCTCAACTGTTGAATGCAATTGAGCAGTCAATCAGCATATGAGAGCATTCATATTCCTCCCCACTACATCCACCCCAAGAGTAGAATAAACTTTAATCTTTCTTTTTAAAGAAAAGAAGTAGACTCTGTTTCCTGTTTCTTGGATGGGGGCAGGCAGCATGCCTTATTTTGATCATGAACATGCAACACGAAGGACATCAAAAGGAGGACATCGAAAGGGGTCCAATTCTACTCGGAATGCTGAGAGCAGAGAGCACCATGTGACTGAGCTCAAACTAGCCTATTAAAGGCTGATAGATCATTCAGGGAGAACCCAGGGTTTCGTTTTGTTTTGTTTCGTTTTCTTTCTTTCTTTCTTTCTTTCTTTTTTTTTTTTTTTTTTGACAGGCAGAGTGGGCAGTGAGAGAAAGACAGAGAGAAAGGTCTTCCTTTTGCCATTGGTTCACCCTCTAGAAATAGAATTAAAAGACAAGTTTATTTTGATGGCCGCCATGGCTGGTGCACTGTGCCGATCCGAAGGCAGGAGCCAGGTGCTTCTCCTGGTCTCCCATGCGGGTACAGGGCCCAAGCACTTGGGCCATCCTCCACTGTACTCCCTGGCCACAGCAGAAAGCTGGCCTGGAAGAGGGGCGACTGGGACAGAATCCAGCGCCCCAACCAGAACTAGAACCCGGTGTGCCGGCGCTACAGGCGGAGGATTAGCCTATTGAGCCGCGGCGCCGGCCTGAACCCAGGGTTTCATTGCAGTCTGTCACCCTGCCCAACAACTTGAACATGGTTAGACATACAAGATGATTTTAGGTTATCCATCCACCCGCCAGCTGATTGTAGAGGCAAGAGAAAGCTCAGAAGGTATCGGCCAGGCTGATCCAAACCAAGACATAATCCAACAGATAGGAGAATCATGAGCTGAAGAAAGTTATGGGAAGTGGAAATACAGGCCCAAGGGGAAGGAAAACCACCTAGCAATCACAAAGAACTTCACATTTGTTAGTCACAATGTGCCAGATTCTATACAGTAAATATATCTCACTACATATAACATACCTCTATAGCTTGTCATCCTCATTTTATAGGTAAGGAAAGTAAGGTCCAGAGTTTCAGACACTTGCCTAAAATCTTCCAAGCAGTGTAAAACATGCCAGTGCTGTGGCACTGCAGGTGAGGCCATCGTCTGTGACGCTGGCATCCCATATGGGTGCCAGTTCATGTTCCAGTTGCTCTGCTTTTCATCTTGCTCCCCGCTAATGCACCTGGGAAAGCAGTGAAGGACGACCCAAGTGGCTGGGCCCCCTGCACCCACATGGGAGACTCATTGGAAGCTTCCGGCTCATGGTTTCATCCTGGCCCGGCCTTGGCAGCCATTTGAGGAGTGAAAGAGCATATGGAAGATCTCTCTCTCTCCTCCCTCTCCCTCTCCCTGTAACTTTACCCTTCAAACAAATAAATACGTCTTTAGAAACAAAAAAAGAAGAAATGTAAAAGACTGGATCTAATTCAGTCAGTTCATTGTATCTTCTATTCATAATTCCATACTCTCAACTCTGTACATATTTCACACTGTTTTCCACTACTGAGAACATTTCCTCTTACCTACTTGCTTCAACTTCACTTTTTCAAGCTCTTGGGCTTCAATCCTAAATAGGATCTTCGGCTTGCTCTCTCACTCTTGCCTCCAAGACCCAGATACTAGTTCTGTGTTGCCATAGCAATTTCAATTTCTATTTCAAGGACTCCTTGAGATCTTCACGCAGTGAATTTGCCTTCAACTATCTCATTTCGGAGCAGGTGCTTCTCTTCCATGTGAGTTATTGTGACTTGAGGACACAAACTCTGATTCATTTCTCTAGCTTCAATTTTATCCCAAGTTTATCTCATAATAAGGATGTCTTGGATGAATGAATGAATGAATGAATGAACTTATGGATGCTAATCACTAGCAACAAAAAGTATTTAGAAGCATTCTATTCACAGGTCACCATGCTATCTATGGAAACATAATCCGAAAGATACGTCCTTAGGGTATAGGTTACATAGGGTTCTTTTTAAACCTAAGATTATTAAATCAAAACTATAATTTCAGCTACAAAATGTAACCATACAAGTTTTTCAATAAACTTTGAATCCATCAAGATTTTTAAAAATTTTTCTTCAAACAAGAAAAAAAAGAATCCAATTAACATAAATATTTTCAATCCTGTCTCAGTAGATTCCTCACCTATGAAGTCTATTAAAGTTGAATAATAATCAAGGAAATAAACCTTACTCAAACCCTGAAGAAAGAACTGAGTGGAATTTTGAGGGAGGAGATTGTTGGAGTTTTACAATTTCCTAACCTACAGGTTGTAATATCCTGCCTTTAGTTACCTTTACCATTATACCAGTTTACCTGACTTGCCCAGCCATCTCTACTGTATGTATATAAGGAAGATCATCTTGATGGGGATTTTTCACATTTTCAAGGGACTTAGCCCCAGTATTTTATAGATTTTTTAGGAGGACTTTGGACATAATTTACTTTTAATGAAGCTTACAGTTTTGCTTTGGATGTGATCAGAAAAACAGCTATCATGTGTATTTGACACTTGGAGTCACTACCAAAAGTCAGGATTAGAGCCATATCCTCTGAATCGGACATGTTTTTATTTTTATTTGCCAGGACTACAGAACTGTGTGTGTTAAGCCATGTCTTGGATGGAAATTACAAGTGAAACAAATGGAACTTTTGTTAGGAAAATTGCTACTAACACACAACTGAAGGGTTGATTTCATGTGCTACTTTAGCACATGACTCCTATTGTGGAAGAAGCAGAAGTCATCACCCGGCAGAGCAAAGCAATCGTCTACAGTTCTTAGATTGCCCCAGACCTCACTGTCCCATGAAACGTGTTAGTTAACACCCCGTTTTTGATCCGAGTAGCTCATGAAGTGATAACAGGATCTCACACAGGTTGTAGAATTCCACTCCACCCTCTACCCCTTCAGGGATGACAGATGCATTCGTTCTCTCAAACGCTTGTTTCTAGCTACCTGGGAATGAGTTATGTCTTCAAAGATGCCTCCTTCTCAGCTCCAACCAGCACCAAGAACTAAGATCCCACAGCTCAGGTTTCACACCATCCTGGAGACTCTGCGTGGTGTGTGTGTGAGTGTGTGTGTGTGTGTGATTTCTACTAAAACTAAGTCATCAGGATATGCCCACGTTCCTGGCTTACACTGCCCCACGCAGAGTGGCTGGAGACTTGCCCTGCCTCTCCCCCAGCAGGAATAGTGAAGGAGTTTTACCTGCGCATCCAGTCCCCCGGCCACCTGGTGGTAGGAGCTCTGGGAGCCCCACCTCAGCGGGTTGGAAAACATGGTCCGCGAGGCGCCCTGAAACCGGCGACCGATGGAGAGAGCTGTTGCTGCGAGGGTCACTTCGCCAAGCCGGGAACCATCAGCCCTGAGCCCGGCAGGTGGGAGGAGGCGCAAGGCGAGTCAGCTGTCACCCTGTCTGCTATCAGCCCTGTCAGCTGGCGCGCCAGGGGCGGGGTGTGGGCGGAAAGGGGTGTGGCCGGGAGGAGGGAGGACCCCTCCCTAGCGACGGGAAGTTTGCACTTGGCGTAGTAGTTCTTACCTTTTACATTTCCTGGGCTGTTCTGTTAGAAAAAATCCCTGGCCCTCTTATGACTGAGGCGCAAAACCCATTCCTCCCTGGGATGCCATTTCTCTGACTGCAAACAGAATGCCACAGCTGTATCCTACAGAAAATTGTAAAGTACAAGAAGTGTCAGTAGAATTTGGGGAAACAAATTTCTTACAACACCCTTCACATTAAAAACAAATGAAATACCTTAAAATTATAAAACTATTTTTTCTTCATTTGGGAAAAATATTTGTCAAGTCGAAAAGATAAGCATTTAATATCTTAGCGAAATACAATTCATCCTATACACAGTAAACCTACTGTTAAAAGAACCGCAAATACTTCTCAGGTTCTTGGAATCTGGAAACAGCATTATTGAAAGTAACTACTCCATGAAAACACTCTTACCTAAAGACCTAGTGGCCACAATTGAGACAGATTTGTATCAGACAGATTGTCTGCGTGTTAATTGCAATGTTAATTGCTTGGTGCTTCCCGGATGCTTCTACAGCTCATTTCAATATCTCTGAGCCACTCTCTGCCTCACCATCCTACTGTCTAACCATCAACACACTGGTATGACTTGCTGCCTCACAAACGCAGTGTTTTATCCCAAATACTGCCATTTTTGAATTTTACCTGCCTTATAGGATGGCAACTAATGGCTTACAATGAAACCACCATGATTTTTAAAGTTTAAAAACAAATTTTCCATGTGGTAAAATGTCTAATTAGTATCATTGCACATTCCCTGGTTCATCTAAAAGTTTGCTTTAAAAATACATTAAATTAAATTCAACTTAATATTCAAGAAAAGAAAGGGCACTTGATGTTGCAATTTCCATAATACCACAGTCTACTGCATATTATTTTAAAATTACATATAAAACAAGATAGTAAATAGAAAACTTCATAGTAACTAGGATTAGCAAAGAACTAAAGGTGACACATGAAGAAAGGGGACCATGAAAATAAATAGATGACATTTTAAATTTTAATATTGCAAATATTGAGATGTCTTAAGCCTTGTATAAAGAAGTACTGGTGTTGGGCCGGCACCGTGGTTCACTTGGCTAATCCTCCGCCTGCAGCGCCGGCACCCCTGGTTCTAGTCCCAGTTGGGGCGCCAAGTACTAGTCCCGGTTGCTCCTCTTCCAGTCCCGCTCTCTGCTGTGGCCCGGGAGGGCAGCGGAGGATGGCCCAAGTGCTTGGGTCCCTGCACCTGCATGGGAGACCGGAAGGAAGCACCTGGCTCCTGGCTTCAGATCAGCGCAGTGCTGGCCATAGTGGCCATTAGGGGAATGAACCAACGGAAGGAAGACCTTTCTCTCTGCCTCTCTCTCACTGTCTATAACTCTACCTGTCAAATAAAAAAAAAAAAAAAGTACTGGTGTCAGTCACTCTCAAGCAGATACATGATATGTGACAGGTGTTGCCACTTTGATGGAGTGTTTGTTTCCTTTAGAATCCAAAGCAACTGAAGTGGGAGAAATCTTAAGACTTCCAAATACGAAATGGAAATAAAGATAAGGCAATAAGAGTATTGGGTTTCAGGACAAAGTAGCATTCTGCCTGTTTCTTGGACTTGACACAATAGGTAGATGGAGAGAGTTGAGGATTTTGGATGAAAGAAATACACCTGAGTTAGAGGCCCAGAGATGATGCCTGGGCGATTTTGGACTTGACTGTAGATTGGGTCAAACTGTAAAGAATCAGCCTTCTTACATAAAAATTAGACCACACCATACCTCATGGAATTAAAACCCAGAAGAATGCTTAGAACACCAATTTTCTTCTCTTTTTAGACAATAGTTGTCTGAGTCCATGCAAAGGTAAGGTTGTAAATTTACCTTTAAAATAAATGTGTCTGTGTGAGAAATTGAGGGTACAGTGTAGGATTTAGAAGAATTGTTTCACCTCCTTCCACACCCTCCTTTGGGGGCATCTCGTAACTTCTAAGCAGCCTCAGCCTGGGGGCCTTACTGCCTTCCTGTACTTTCAACATACCCATCCTCTGGATTCCGTGGGCAAATGACAAGGTCTTCTCTTAGGGCTTTGCCCTTGCTTTGTCAAGCATAGTTACAAGGAAAACAGAAACTTTGAACCTGTGCCATGGAAGAGGAAACCAGGAATAACAGGAAGTCTAAAAATATCTCAGTCTCTGAAGGCTACATTTGTCTCCCTCCTCTGGGAGTCAACCCTTTTAGGAAAGCCTGGTTCTAGCCACTGGAAGCAGAAGGCTTTCTAGTTATCCAGTGCTATAGCTGTATGTATATATATATATATATATATATATATATATATATCGTTGATTGGTGTGGAGAGGGAGGGATGTGTAGAAGTTGAGGATGATGATGGGTTTTCCAGGAGAGCCCACCCAAAGGAATTGGAAGAAAAATCTCTGGGAACCCCACAAAATAAAATGAAAGTTACCTTGTAAAGCCAAGTTTCTCTATTTTGAAAGAGGTGCAAGATAAGGATGTACAATTGGGAGGGAAGGCATGAAGCTTTGTCAGAAAAAACAGTTTTCTATGATTAGTTAAGTAAAACTGGTGAAATATTTGGATTAGCTTAAGGAACAGACAATACATAATGAAAGGATCTGGCGGGAGTGAAACCTTATCACAAGTTAGCACTGTCTCTCACTGATATTTTCATGCTAGCTAGATTGTGAAACACTTGCTTTCAGTTTCCAGCACAAGGAAAATCACGTGTAGGTGGAGTACAATTGCATAAGGGTTTAGGAATGGGTGGGGCGTATCTTATGCCACAGTGCTCAGTTTTTCATTTAGAACAATCTATTATGTCCTTGTGGGGTTTCTGCTGTGCCTTAAGAGTAAAGTAAGAACCCCAGGCTACCCTTTCCATGTGAAGAGAGTCTCATGGAATGAGTCTGAATCTCTGAAGTTGTCTACCGTAAAGCTGAAAGAAAAAAGCTGACTTCCATAGTTAGCTGGGCAGATGGTCGTCACCATGGCAGAGAGAAGTCCTTTAATGATGATTATAGGTTATGTTTTCATGGGGGTTGGAAGATTGAGTAGATGTTATTTTCACTGTTGTTGTTAACTTTGATATACAAATTTGAGCTAACAGTGCTATTCAGATCATGGCATGAAATGATTCTAAACACTGATGCTTTGCTACTGAATAATACATACTTTACTGTGATAGCACTTGGAATATATTCCTTGCTCCCCTCAAGAAGGTAATGTCTTAACACGGCCGGTGCCGCGGCTCACTAGGCTAATCCTCAGCCTTGCGGTGCTGGCACACCGGGTTCTAGTCCCCGTCAGGGCGCCAGATTCTGTCCCGGTTGCTCCTCTTCCAGGCCAGCTCTCTGCTGTGGCCAGGGAGTGCAGTGGAGGATGGCCCAAGTGCTTGGGCCCTGCACCCCATGGGAGACCAGGAGAAGCACCTGGCTCCTGCCATTGGATCAACACGGTGCATGGGCCACAGCGGCCATTGGAGGGTGAACCAACGGCAAAGGAAGACCTTTCTCTCTGTCTCTCTCTCTCACTGTCCACTCTGCCTGTCAAAAAAAAAAAAAAAATGTAATGTCTTAAAACACTCCACATATGAGACACTGACCTCAGTTACTGCACATCAAAATATATGTAAACTCTAGAGTATGATAAGCTGAGTTTTTAGATTCTGGATCTCTTCACGTTTTTTTAAAATATTGAAGACCCAAATAACTTTTGTTCATATGGACTATCTCTGATGATATTAAAACATTCAAAATTAAAATTAAAGAGTTAAATATTTATTTTGTAATTGTTAAAGATATAGATATAGATTATGTTTTACAGGTGATCAATTATTGATGAAAAACAACTCCATTTTTGTGGAGAAATTAGGCACAGGAGGCAATTCAAAGATGGTGGCTGAAGGGAAATTAGGCACACGTGGCAATTCAAAGATGGCGTCCAAAGGAAGTAAGGTGGGCAGTGTCCAAAGTCGTTTACCACCAAAGCTGATTGGCCACACAGCATCAGGGGAGGTGACAACTGATGATGAGTGTACAGACATATGGCTGGTCCTGTAAAAAGTCACCCCGTAAAATGACCTTTTAAGTAATTGGTTGGTCCTTAAGCCCTGCCCAGTAATCACGTGGTCTTGTGCTTTAAAAGGCTTTGCCATGTGCCAATAAATGGAGTTCTTGCTTGCTTGTCTTGACTTGACTCCCAGCTGCGTCTGACTGTCTCCAGGATCGGGAGGCTGGGGAACGGGCGAGTGGCGCACTTGCCTTTCTTCGGACCCAGTCCATCCTCGTTCGGGTGGACTAAGACCCAGCACATTTTCCTTAAGGAATAATTTTAAAGGAAGATTGGTATTGTTTTATATTTTAATTGCCTGATTTGTAGAAGAGATCAGGATTCCCATAACTACTACTGTGTTCAGATTTTCACAGTATTTTATTTCCACTGAAGTCGATAAAGAAACTGCTTTTGTATACATGTGTAGTTAGAAGAGGTGGGTGAGTTTGTTTAATATCGAGGAAATTCTGGATATTTTTCTTCGGGATAACATCCAAACTCTGGTAGTTTCTTAACCACTAAGCTAAATGCTCACTCCCTCTGAAATTTTCTTAAATTTAATTGCAATATGGAATTTATATCAATAAATCTTTTGTGCTGTATAGCATTAAAATTCATTGGTCTCTCTTGCATTTTGAATGAATCTCTTTTCTTTGCCTATTTGTATAGTAGCATGTATTTGTTATTGGGCAAATATTAGCTCTTTGAGATCCAAATGTTGCTATGTGTCATAATATAATATCAAAGTGATGTTTATTAATGTCACCCACAATCTCATCAGAAAAATCTTTTGGTGTGGAGACACTTTCAAGCTTATCCTGGTAGATACCACTATTCAAAATACATTTTTCTCTAAAAGCTTA